CTTCGAGCAGGAACATAAATTCACCAAGAAAAGCAACAGATATTCTTATTTCATAAGATTTGTCTATAATTGCCAATCTTCATTGCTAGATATCATAAAACTAATAATAATAGGTTTGGGTAATGAATACTTAACGGGTGTTTTAGGGCAAGAGTAACAAAATAAAGTAACAATAATAATAAATGTGTTATAAACAATTTGTATTATAGTGAATGTCTAATTATGTGGAATCCTTGTAGGATATAGTTAGGAATCCTACTTGGGGACCAAGTAAGGTTTTCCCTATAAATAAAGGGTTTTCCTTCATTGTAAATAAGATTTGTGAAAGATCTATGAATCCTGAATATACTTCAAGATGAACAAGAAGTCTTTTCTTTTCTCCCTACTTTCTTCTTCTTCTAAATTTATATAGTTCCATAACACGTTATCAACACAATTGTTCTATACTTAAGAATGATGAAGAAGACGGGAAAAGTGCAAAAGAGATCTTGAATAAGTTATTCAATAAGGTAATATCTTCAAGGTATGTTTTATCTTTATGTTATAATTATTTATGTAACAGATCTGGGGGTACCATTTAAAGTAAGTATTAAAGAGACTTGTCGACTTTCTATATGTTTAATTTTAATCGACTGGGTAGAGAATTCCTTAATTTATTTTAATAATTAAATATGCACAATTTAGTGAAAGGTATGTTTTCAACCTTTATATGAGGTATGTGATCTGTTAAACTATATTTATTAACTACTAATGTTGATTATAATAAATCAATAATCTCAATTTTGTGTGTAATTATAATGTACAATCATATTAATAATCATCAAAAGTGATAAAATTGTAATTATTTTCAAAGGCTTGAGGTTGAGCCTCATTGTGGGTAAGACAATGAATTTAAGTTATATCGCACCAAGAGAATAAGACGATGGATCTACGTCCAATCGCACCAAGAGGGTAAGACATCAGAAGTCTTGATGCTTTGTGATGAAAGATGTTGGATTCAAGTCCCTCATTGATTTATGGCATAAGACGTTGGGTTTGAGTCTCAATGCACCATATTGATGATATAATAATGACTAAGGGAAATAATGAGATTTTGATAAAATTAGTCATGAAATATATCTCGTTGAAGCAGAACCATTCCCCAAAGTGAATGTAGCAGTGCATAAATGTCTAAAAGAAGACAATTTATTAAATGATGCACATGAATATGGAATGAGGTACTAAGTTATCAAAATTTGATGTACTTAGATGATTGTGTTCTATTCATGAAGAATGAGAGTCTTTGATAAATGGTAAAAATACAGATTCATTCTTTAAAGGGAATGAGGTGATAAGCCACCATGCTAGACGTGAATTTTCTTGTACTGCTTATTAACAAGGCAAGTTAATTGTGAGACTATCATAAACGAAAGTTGAGATTGATTCTCTACGTTCTAGGAACGTATACAGATATTTGTGGACCTAGTCATCCACCAAGTGGATTGTTTAGATATTTAATGATCATAACAAATATTTCTTCTATATGGTCTCATGTGTGCCTATTATTATCTCGCAACTTGATGTTTGCAAAAATGTTGGCACAAATAATATGTCGCATGCACAATTTTCTTCAGATTAGTTCATTCAATGATGTGATCATGACTCACCTAAAGGGTGAAGTAATTGAACAGAAATAAATCTGAAAATTAATCTTGGATTAATAAAATTGAAATTTACTCATATAATAATAAATAAAAAATTTACTAAAGAAAAAGGCACATGACGTAGTAAACTTGGAGTTTACTAGTACTAATAATTTTATTAGTTCGCATGAATAATTTGGTCATCCCAAATATATACATACTGAGTAATGGACATACATTGAAAAACTAAAAGATTCTTCAAGAATTCTTTTGTTGTTTGTTCTCATGACAAGTTGATTGGATCAACTAATGTTGAGATTAAATCTCTAAATTCTGAAAAGTATAAAAGGTGAATATGAGTCCGTTTACCTATCATGTGATATGATAAAAAGATGCATCAATAAGTTAATCACATGTCTGTTTGTTGTCAACTTGCCGTCTGACATTCGCAAAATTGTTTATGCAAGATAATTGAGCTAAAAACACAACTTTCATAATATGAAATTAAGATAATTCATCTTGATAATATTGATAAATATATAAGATGATGTGACATTAAATGTCTGAGATAGTGAATCATTGCATATGAAAATAGAGTTTCATGTGTTGATCTGATTAATGATATTACATACAAACATAATTGTATGAATCAAACCAATAAGTTATGATCAATTTTTCTGTTAATTGGTTTATGGTCAGGGACCAAATAGTTTTCATCTGATAATTTTGATGTGCAATATATGATTAATGAATATGCTATAATGCACAAAGATAGATTCTCCAAAAGATTGAGATATATGTTAGTTTGTCTAACATAAGGGGGAGATTAGAAGCAACACAAAAGTTGTAAATACTCCTATTAAGGATAAAGTCTATGACATACATGAAGCATGATAGACTAATCAATTCTAAATAAAATAATCCTTGAAAAAAGGAGAGGATCAAAGAATCAAAATGATCATAATAAGGAGACAATGTGCTCTTGGAGAGACTACGACATAACACTTTATGAAACCTCATGAGAGGGGTAGCTACCTAAAAATAATGAAGTGATGAGATCTCAATAAGTTTTGTCGTGTTGTGAATCGATACAAAATGATATATTGTTGACGATATCTTTAATACAATAGCGCGCAATATTGTAAAAGATTATAAGGATATGAATTCTACATCTATTAAAGCATGCTTGTGTAGAAATAATTATTAAGTGTAAAGTGGAATGATACATCTTGGTAAGCGTAAAACTTATTTGACTTGCAATTTAGGCATTAAAAGATGTCATACATCTAATATTGAATGTTGTTACTTGACGAAATTGATATGAAAATATCCAATGGGTTCAAAATCTAAAGCATATACAAGTTTTTGGAAAACTTGTTTATCATCTTCATAAGGATTAAATAGTTTCAAAGTGCATAGAGCATATACAAGTATTATTATGCAAGTTGATGACTAGAATTTAAACTCTTGGCAATAGATTATTTATTTTAAGAAGTTGAATTAAGGAACTCGCATAAATCTTTGACCCTGAAGGAAAGATTCATAAAAGCAGATAGAAGAAAGCATACTTCGTCAAGGTTTTTCTACACTCATAAGCTCCCAAGAATGGTGATATCAACATGCAAGAGGTCTGTTCAAGTAATATTATTGTTGATTTGTTTACCAAATCTCTACCTACAACTTTCAAGAAGACGGTGCACAAGCTTGGAAAACAAGATTCTAGTCTCTGAATTGATGTTGTCATTAGGGGGAGTTAATACGCGATGTACTTTTTTTTCCTCACAAGGTTTTGTCCCACCGGGTTTTCATTGTAAGGTTTTTAATGAGGCATCCATAATGCGTATTATTAGATATATGTACTCTTTTTCTTTCACTAGATTTTTTCCCACTGGGATTTATCTTGTAAGGTTTTAACGAGGCACATAATCTAACGACATTCAAGGGGGAGTGTTATAAACAATTTGTATTATAGTGAATTTCTAATTATGTGGAGTCCTTGTAGAATATGGTTAGGATTACTACTTCGGGACCAAGTAAGGTTTTCCTTATAAATAAATGGTTTTCCTTCATTGTAAATAAGATTTGTGAAAGATCTATGAATCCTGAATATACTCAAGAGGAACAAGAAGTCTTTTCTTTTCTCCCTACTTTCTTCTTCTTCTAAATTTATATAGTTTCATAACAAAACGAAATAAGTCCATTATAATGAAATAATTAAATTTTTAGAAATGGTGGTGAAATCAACAAAACTTAAATAGGTACTAATAAAATAATTGATTTCGTTTATTATATTCAATAATCATGTAAGGCTACTAGAAACTACAAGTTAAGTCAATTATTTCATTAACCTACGTAATATCAAATCGAACAATTAAAACAATAAAATTAACAAGCAAATCATCGCGATGAATTATGAGCAAATCAAAATTCATCATGTTAACTATAAACAGATCAACGACTCCAAAATATGCATTGAGGCAACTATATTCGAAAGTACTATTGTTCGTGTGAAGTAGCAACCCTAATAAGAAGGTCATTACAATATCAATTCATCAAAAAGGTGAATTCACCTCTCAAAGAATACTCACCCTTTCGAGTAGCAGGGTGTCAATACAAGCCCAACCAATGTTAATCATGACATAATTAATTTAATTATTCTTTAATTAGGTATATCAATTCAATAGAATCATGTTTCAACTCCTGAAATCATGTTTTAAAATTAAATCAATAGCTTATTCATAAAGTAAAAAGATATTTATAATGATTACCGCTTTAATAATCATCACTTTTAAATTTAATTCAATTATGTTTATAAAAAAAATATTAAAGCATGATAAAACATCTGAATTTAAATTCATTAATTTAACACTTTAGTACATAATAAACTAACACCTTTGTAATTATGTAATACTTGAGCATGATATGGTATATGAACTTTCCATTAGTATTACCAGGCTTGTTATATATAGCATTGTAATAACATATTTACTATTTATCGAAAATACAATTTTATATAAAAAAAAATATGAAAGTCAAAATTCAAACTTCAATATAAGATGTTATCAATTAATCAAAGTGTTATCTAGTTTCTTACCTAATAATGTTATTATTATTCTTAGAATCTAGTATCACATAAATTTATCATCTTATTTGTTATTTATAACAATTTGATTCTTCATTATATTTTATTTTAATATTTCATTTATCATCTTATTTGTTATTTATAACAATTTGATTCTTCATTATATTTCCGATTTAAAAATAAGATTTGCATATACAATACACTCGATAATTTAACACCTACAATAAGCCACCTAGAAGGTTTGAGAGGTGGTCCCCAATCCCACGCAAAAGATTAGTATAATACTCCTCCTTTTACAAGGGGACCCTAGTTGAGTAAAATGCAAACAACTCTTTCCTCCCATTTCTCTATTCACAAGTTCTCCATTACACAAATACTCAAATCTCTCTACAAGATTCTTACTCTCAACAATCAATCATATACCTTTTTTAGCTTTCAATCGACTGCTTGTTTACCCACCTAATCTACTAGTCTTAGCTTACCGACAAACGAGAGGGAATAAAAGAATACAATTTGGGATAAAACCATTTGCGATTTGCTGGTTTTTCAATCAGTGTATGTATCCATTTTGATCTGAATCTTCAAATTGCTTTATGGGTATTGCAGATTCTTTTCTAATCTTTTGTTGATTTTCTGGTAATCTTTCTTTTCTTTGCTTGTCTCTTACGGAAATGTTTTCTGGGTTTGGTTTGATTCTTGTTCTTGATTTTGTTTGTTGGATTTGTTGAATGGTGTTAATGGATTATCTAAAGTTTGATTTTTTTCTAGTTGGGTTTTGAGTGGTTATTGTAGTATATGCTTGTTTTACAAAAGAGAATGGTTTGCAGAAGTTAAGTTTAGCCTATTTACAACTTAAGTACTAATTAGACGGCAAATGCATTTTGAGTTGAATTACCTTTTGCAGAAGTTTACTTAACAGCAGATACATTTACTAACTTAGTTTGTTATTGGATGCTTTTAGTACCGATTGGATCTTTTCATCAAGATCCCTAGTTTGTGCTGTTGGTGAGAGGTATGGTTTAGATTTGCTGTAAATGTGATTGCATTGGAGTGAAATTATCCTTAATTAGTTCATCTTTGATCATAACAAGTTTAAGAGGCTTAAGACTCATCACTATCTTGTGCTATATGTGTATCTTACTATCATACTTGATCATAATAGGTTTGAGGGGGTTCAGTGGGTGCGTGCTACATCATATTTTGCTAGGGGAGGATTGACTTTGTTTCCAGGGTCGTGATATGATCGATCCATGATCCTGTAGAGAAATAGGGTAAACCTTGTTTGTTATTTGGAAAGTGTGATTAACTTGTGTAGTCAGCTCTTGCAAATGTTTGCAACTAACGAGTGAAATTCTGTTGATTGCTTCAGCTTTATTGTGGCCCAATTTATGGCCTTCAGTCATATTCACATATTAGTAAGAAGATTAGATTCTTCTCATTAGTGGCCAGGCTATTTTGGATGAACTATTATGTCGATAGTGGTAACATTGATGTGTTTTCTTTTCTATTGAATTTCGAATATCAAAGATCAGACATATCTTAGAGTTGAATTTATGGATTCATTTACAGTAATTACGTAGCTTGAGTGTTGATTAATGTTGAACTTGCGTGTTACCGTGCACACTGGTAAAACATTTGCATTTTGTGTGATCTCCTTCTGGCAGGAATTGAAACTTCTCTGTCTGCATCAGTTCTCTTATTTGGGAGGATTATTATTAGCGGGTAATGCTGTTTGATCAGGAGGCTGGTATTGAGAAGACCGAATAGGTTATTCAAAGAAAATGGTAGCTAATGCTCCTTCGATGTTAATGTGGACTTAGCGAGAGCAATGTACTAGGCAGGCTGTTCAATGGTTCGATAACTAGTAGTATTAATTTGTGATGTCTATTTAGGTCGTATGTTCATTAAGCTTTTTAAATTCAGGCTGACACCGTCCTACCCTTCCTACCTCTCCTTTCTTGAATAATTGTTAAAAAGGAAGTTTTGGTGGAGCCCTTTATGTATAGAGTTTCAACTTAAGCAAGCAAAACCGATTTGTAGCATAAGAAATTATTGGTGTCTGGCATCAGGTCCAAAATTACTGGTTGCACTTCGTGATGGTATTTTATCTGGTAATTCTGAATAATCTGTCTGAGGTGTTGCTGTATTTGTTGCGAATCTGTCCAAGCAATTTTACTTTCATATATATTATTGGGTACTTCAGCATGTGATATTAGTATCAGGCGATGCTCTTGCTAAATGCTGGACAATTTTCATCAATAAAATGATTACGTATAAAAGAAGATTAGCCTATACTTTTGTTATTTGCAGTTTTTTTCCTTAAACTCTCTGTTTTGCTCATTGTCTCATTACTATCGTTCTCACTTTCTAATCGTAGATCATTGAAAGTGGATCCTGCAGATTACCTTCTTTCTCTTTTTTCTGTTTCTATTTTTATTAGTTTTATGTTATTTCCTTTTCTGCTGTTACTTAGAGTCTCCATTTATTAATTGCAGGATTTAGGCCTACTATTCCAACTTTTCAGTTTTGTCTTCCTCCTGCTGTTATATATGGGCTGACGCGTTTGTTTCATGGGAGCTGAGGACGATGATGAACCACCATCAAAACGTGTGAAGGTATCCTCCAGTCAATTGGTAGATATTTCTGACAGGACATTTGTTAGAGATCCTGTAAGTTGTTCATTGGGTGACTCGATGGCTCGACCCCTGACTCTTCAAGGGGACGATGAGGTTGTTGGTACAAAAGGAGTTGTCAAGAAAGTTGAATTTGTTCGGATTATAACTGAGGCATTAGATTCTCTTGGTTACAAAAAGACTCGGGCCTTACTAGAGGAAGAGTCAGGGATACCCTTGCACACTTCCGTCGTAAATTTGTTTATGCAGCAAATTCTTGATGGTAAATGGGATGAAAGTTTAAACACATTGCGAAATATTGGTCTGGTGGATGAAAAAATTGTAAAGTTGGCATCTTTTGTGATATTGGAGCAGAAGTTTTTTGAATTGTTGCACAAGGAAAAAGTTATGGATGCTCTGAGGACACTGAGGGGCGAGATCTCACCTCTTTGCATAAACAATGATAGAGTCCATCAGCTTTCGTTTTTCATTATATCACCTTCTCAGCAGGTTCTTACTGGGGTATCAGGTCAAGGCACAGCGAGAGTAAAGTCACGTACAGAGCTACTAGAGGAATTGCAAAGATTGCTTCCCCCAACAGTTATGGTTCCAGAAAAGAGATTGGTACATCTTGTTGAACAAGCTCTTGACTTGCAACTAGATGCTTGTAGATTTCACAACTCTGTGGTTGGTGAAATGTCACTGCTCAGTGATCATCACTGCGGAAGAGATCATATTCCATCTCTAACAATGCAGGTTAATTCACATTAATAATTGGGTGTGCTTTTGATATACAAGCCTTTTGATTCTGCTCTTGATTGTTCGAGTCTGACATGTTCAAGAGAAACTTCATTTTGTGTCTCACACAACAGACACAGGTTGTGTGAGGCTTTGATCTACAAATTACTGGACCCTAGTCTTACACTTTTGGTCCACAAATTTGTGAAACAAAAAGAATCCCCACACAACTTGTGTCAGTTGTGTGAGACACAAAGTAAACTCTTTCCATGTTTCGTCTTGCAATCATGCACTAGTTTGTCCTATCATTATCCGAGTCAATAATTAGTGGAGTTGAATGAATATGATGGGAAATATTGATCAAGTTTTGTTCCTTTGCATTCTAAACAAATGTCATTGTTGTTAAAAGAGTCACCTCTTCTATTTTATGTCAATTATTTGAATGACATATGTTGGCATTAGGATGAAAAGCATTCTGAATTCATGCTTTGTTTCATTCAACTCTTTGTGGTTGAAGGTTTTGCCAATTTTTGCTTATGTTCTTTTGAAAGGCTTGTTTTGATTTGCACCCAAGGGTGTGACCTAGTGGTCATTGACTGGAGACAAAAAACACTAAGTTCCCATCTGTCCTAGACAAAAAACAAAGCATGAAATCATTTTCTTTGTTATGTATTTGTCATTCATGCTTATATTTATTAGTCTTGGATTGATATTTGTACTTTTTCTCCCTTCGTGCCCTTTTTCATTAAAGCCCACACTTCTTTTTGACAAAGGTAACAAATTTGTATATAGTTTTTCAGCACTAAAGACTGGGATCCCAAATTTAGACCGTGGAGCTACATACAGTTGATAGACTCAAAAAATCTTTAAAAACACTAGATTCTACTTCATCTTACAAAGAACCTAGAATACTGGAATAGTTACATGATCATTTACATACTCAGACTACACCAATAGCAAAAAGTGACAAGACAGCTCATTTTTATCCTATGTAAAGGCCCACTAATGCTCTCAAATTTCTCTCCTTCCATATGGTCCACCAAATCACTGTTGGGACAATTCTCCATCAGCTTTTGTCTGCACCGCCACTACCTTTATTGTTCCAACTTTCTATAGCCCGTCTTGCCCTTTATGGTATGGTCCTACTTATGCCCCTAAAGCTGGTAAATAGGTTCCAAAGTTGTCTAACCACCCTGCAGTGAAGAAACAAATGGTTGATTGTCTCTACCTGCTTCTCACAGAAACTGTCTTGGAGACATATGTATTCCCCTCTTCTTGTGATTCTCCTGAGTTAGTTTTGTCTCTTTTACTACCAACCAAGTAAAGATTGCCTCCCTATATGGAATTTTGACTTTCTAGATAAGCTTCCAAGGCAAAAATTTGAGTTGAGTCCCTATCTGGTTCAGATTCTTGTAGGCAGAGCTAACTGTGAAAATACCTTTGCTATGATACATGAGTGTCTTCTCCCTCTTGCAATCCTCCAAATTGGTCTAGGGTGCCACAAAATTTAGCTAATCTATCCATATCCCAGTCTTGCATCATCGTTCTCTATGTTAAGTTCCATCCATGGATGGATCAAACTCCTTCAAAATGGCCTGTTGTTGCTGATTCAACAGATAAATATCTGAAAAAGTAAGAACTGCTTGAGGCTGCCATTTCCTAACCAGCTAATCCTAAACAAAATCTTCCTTCCATTGTTTATACTGGTCTCTGGGAACGTATATTGCACATTTGTCCCTTATTATTATTATTAATATTGTTAAAGCAGAAAGCTAATCAGTACACATTAACCCATGTACAAAATAATTCATAAAATATATACGAGTCAGACATCAGCAAATAATGAAGATACACAAAAATAGTATAAAAAAAGGAAGAAGATTAAGATAAGGTAAAAAGTTAACCTATGATATTGCTGATTGTAGTATGGCAAGTGGAAAAAAATAAAGAAAGTGAAATGTGATACAAAGGAAACAAATTGATATGTGCACGTACTGAGGAATATAAAAAGACAGCAACAATATCTTTACCAATGTAGAAGAGGAAAGAACAAAAGATGAAACGAACTTCTATTTCATATACATAACTTCCATGTCTTTCATATTCATAACCTTCAAATATTTAATGTGTAATATATATATATATATATATATATATATATATATATATATATATATATATATATATATGATGATGGTGATGATGATGATGATGATTGTATATAGTTCTTTCAATGAAACTTTGCCACAAAATTCTGATTGATCTCCACAGGTTCATACCATAGGGAGAAATTACTTCCTTAGTTGTCTAGTACTCTAATTTTCTCATACTTGGTCTGAATTACTCTTTAACCCATTTAGCCTGCTCCTCTTTAGGAGATCTCCACAACCACTTCATTATTAAGCTTTTGTTCTATTTCCTCAAGTTTATAATGCCTAACCCATCTAGTTTCTTTGAAAGAACTACAGTCTTCCATTTGACCTAATGAAATCCTTTGTTCTCCTTCTTACCATTCCACAAAAACTCCTCCTTAAAGCATCAATTCTTTCTTCTACCCTAGTTGGGAGAGGAAAAAATGACATCTAGTACGTCGGTAGAACATCTAAGACTGAGTTGATCAGGAACAATCTTCCACCTCAGACAGATACTATGCTTTCCATCTGGATAGTCTTCTTTCACATCTCTTCACCACCCCATTCAAAATCTCTCTGGATTTGCTTTTGGCTCCCAAAGGCATCCCCAAATAAATTGTTGGTAGTTGACCTATTTCTCCTCCCAAGATCTCTGGCAGATTTACATTCTGTTCACATCATTAATTGGAAAAATATGACCTCCGATTGATATGGAGCCCAATAGTTGCTCTGATTAATCTCCTGGACACACCCAAACAATTCTTACCATTATGCTCCCTCTCAAAAAGAATTTTTTATTAATAATGCAACAAGCTAGTGTCTTCATGGCTCCACAGAAAAAGAAACTATGCAAATTGCTTCAATGTATCTATATGTCACAAGTACATATATAAACTCTCTAGAAGAATAGAATCTTATGTAATATTTTGTTCAGCAAAAAACAAATGAAGAACAGAGATTTGACTCTCCAGCTTTAATGCCGTGGATCTTCAAAGTGCCAGCTCCTTTTGAGTAGTTATTGACAGCGGAACTCTAACTAAAAGCATATTTATTGCAGCCTCGGTCCATGAGCAAATTAATATGGGGAATGCATGCTGTCCTATCATAAGCTTGCTAATGAATGCAGTTTTTATTTACTAATTTGAAAAAAATGAATGCACTTTTATTTTTATGTCCTAGAAAGATGCTGGAGTTAATAGGTAAGCACTATTGATTTCTGGGGAGCTTTGTGATCTTCAGGTCCTTAGTGAGCTTGTGTCCACCATTTCATGTGGCTTTAGTCACAACAATATGAAATGTTTCATGGATTGTTGCCAAACTTTTGAATCAATGAAAGTCAGTACCTGTAGGCACAACATCACATTTTTCGTCTCTTGTGAAATTGGTCTCCCTTTCTCTTGTCATTATATCTTTTTTGTGTAAACAAGTATGTTCTTTTTTTCCTCTAAATTTTGGCTTTGTTTGGGACTGGGGTGTAACTTTTGTTTTGTTCATGTTGTTTATGCCATTTCAAATTGATCTTATATTTGGGAGGTTTAAAGTTTACCAGGAGATGTGGTTGGATCCACTGTGGTTTAAGTGAAAGCAGAAGAAATTGCCTTGGGGTGGGGTGGAGGGGTTAGTTAAAGTGCCAAGGAGTTGTAAATGTGCTTTGATAAAATTGAACTTCACTGGCTTTCTGCTTGTTATCATTTACCGACGAGCTGTTATTTTATAAGTCGTTTTAGAGCAATCTTTGACAGTGGAGTCTGATTTCTTGCAGATACAATATGTTAATCACCTTAAACGCTAATTGTTTCTTCATTGCTTCTACTGCACCAGATATTACATGAACATAAAGATGAAGTCTGGTTCTTGCAGTTTTCCCATAATGGAAAGTACTTAGCCTCGTCATCTGCCGATTTTGCCGTAATTATATGGGAGGTATTTTAAGTTCTCTTTATTTTGTTGTCATATCAGTAGTTGTTTTTCAACTTAGATCAATTGCTACTTTTACTTTTTATCGAATATCTTTTCCTTCATTCTTGCATCTTAGTCACAGCTACCTCCATACTTGATAGGGTCTTCTACTTCTGATTTGAAGGATTAGTAACTTGTGTGCTTCACAGTCTCATGGAGTGCCTCATATGGGTGCTCAAATTTCTGTGGTTTCCGCGACCTCGTGTAGTAATATATTTGAACACAAGGACAGCAAATTATCTGTGGAAGTGATATCAACCGGTTGAGATTAAGGTTTATTCTTTTTTTTTTGGTGGCATATTTCCATTTGATCAGGTGCTTAGAGGATATTTTTAATTTGATCATATATCAGTTTAAAAAATAAGGATATGCATGCGATTTATAAATTCCTATTTTTACAGAAAACCCTTGAATTATTAACGGAATGAGATCGGCTCAAGTGAAATTGAATGGATATAAAGGATTCATATAGCACCCAAGGGTGTGGCTAAGTGGTCAGTGAATTGGGCTGAGAACCATGAGGTTCAAATCCCAACAGACACAAAAAAAAGAACTAGGTGATTTCTTTCCCTCTACTCTAGTCTTGGTGGACAAAGTTGCTTGATACTTGTTGCTGGTGGGGGGTGGCAAGGTCGAGGTGTGTGCAAGCTGGCTAAGACACCATGATTATCAAAATAAATAAATAAAGAATTCATATAGCCTAAGTAGGATATTTCTTCCCATGAGGTCTCAGGTTTCAATTTGAGGCAAAAATTGCTAAGTGATTTTTTCCCATCTGCTTGAGCCTTGGCAGGTAAGCAGGTACCGATGTAATAGTCTTTTCCCATCTGCTTGAGCTTTGAGGTGTAATTATTAGAAAGCACCACCATAATTGCAAGTTGTAGATACTTCCACGGGAGATATATTAGGATTGACTGTAATCAGATAGTTTGTGGCCCTATTCGTCCAAGTTAACCACCCATACACTGAATTTTAGGGAGTCCAACATGCATATATGTATGCGGACCAAGACAGACACAGAGACGAATCTACATGTCTACATCTAACAGTGAAGTCTCCTCATCCTTCTGATTTCGGATCCACATGATTTGCAGCTTATTAAAATTAAACTTATCAAGAATGCCACTTTGCATTTTGTCTCTAAAAAAGAATCCTACTTTGCATGGTCTCTAAAAAAGAATCCTACTTTGCAATCTGAAGAAAAGTAGTCTGCCATCGTTTGAGTGTTAAAAGCCCACTGCCTTCATACTTGCCATATAAAAATAGAGTCCAGTGACTACCACTGACACATTTGTGGTTTCTGACTGTTATTGTTGTTAAACTCAAGTAGGACTGGGATGTATGATTCAATTTTTATGCTGTTATGTTGACAGCCAATTGGAACTTCCTTACATTGACCAACTATGCCGCAGTTAATGTTTCTGTTGTGTTATAAGTGTGATTATTATTATATTTCCTTGTGTTTCGCCAAGTTCTTATGGTGTAATAGGAGAGTTTGTATTAATTATTATTATGCATGGACTTGTACTTTGCACTAAATAATTTTTAATATTGAATATTTTGATCTTTTCTACTATCAAGCAAAAAAGAGAGTACTTGTTGTAGAGCCAGACAGAATAAATGATCAAAGTAATATGATTTTGCTTTCCTTTTCCTTTCTTTTTTGTGCAACAAAAAATAGATGATATCGAAGTTATTACTAATTCTTTTTTATTTATTCCCACTTGTTTCTGCTACCCGCATCGGGGTCCCGACTAATCCATTGCCGCATAAGGCCTGGGTGGGTTGGGGGGGTGAGGGGAGTGCTCCCTACCGTGCCATACCCAGGGCTCGAACCCGAGACCCCTGGTTTAGGATGGAGGGATTCTATCCATCCCACCATAACCCTACTCCTTGGTGATAAAGCTGTAACTGTACTTTTGGTTGTACTTCTTTCACAACATTCCATCTAAAGCTTCAAACTATATGAATAATGCCTCTATTGCCTCTTTTACTTGCCCTCCCCAAAAAAGTCAGTTTCACACTTATTTTATATATGGCCTGAAGTGTTAGTTTCATGGGACGTGTTTAATGTATCCTAATTAAATTTTGCAGCCTCATCGTTATAAAGTTACTACTCTCTCAGTTTCTATAGTTTTGATCCTATTTTACTGAGCGCGGAGTTGACAAATGAAGAGACTTCTAAAATTGTGGTCTTATGTAAACCGCGATTATAAGACCTTTGAAACTTGTGGTTTTAAACGTGCCATGACAGTTGTGTAGCTGTAAAAGCTTGTCATTAAGGGTAAAGTGTGAAGTGTAAGTTACCTTCTCAAAAAAAGGAGGAAACTTTTAAGTTAAATAATCTCCAAATTTAGGAAGGAGCCAGGAAATAGAGTCCATCACAACTGAAACGAATGGAGAATATGTATTGGCTAGAGGTATTCATGTTGCCAAATAGTTATGGATGGTATGTTAAGAGTTAAATGTGCATGTCTATGAAAGGGATGAGTAAATTACAGATCTGGTGGACAGATTTGCAGAAGCTGCACAAAAAAAATAAAAAATAAATAAAAAAATAAGAGCCTTGCTATTACTAAGCTGCCTGTTTGCCTTTTCTTGCATTGAAGGTTTATTGAATTAATAACAAACCTTTGGGTTGAGTGGAGGCTTTCTAAAACTTAATGTGGGGTTTATCATTAGATTTTTTGACCTAAGACGACAGTGATGTTTAACTGATATTTGGCACTAAGCATTCAATTTGATGGGAAAATCAGTTGAATACAAAATAATTGTTAAATTTATATTCTAGCTTTAGTTCCATTTTAGTTTGTCCTTACTCCTTCCATTCCAGTTTATATGACGCTCTTTCCATTTTGGTGCATACCAAAATGTTTGACACCATTCTGTTTTATACAACTTTCAATAACTTTAAGGATTCATTGAACTACTCAGACTTCAACTTCGATGTGATGTTTGCTTGTTTTTTCAACCTCCACTTTAATATTCTCTTCCATTATCAATAATACATTAAATAAGTCAGATTACATATTTCAACTCCGTGCTGAATCAATCACCCTTACATAAAATGAAATGGGTGGAGTAGTCATTTCATAGAGTGATATTCTTCCTTTTTCAAGTTTAAAGAGAAACAAACACATGGGAGATTTCCATGCCTTAGAAAACATGAAAGCTGACAGCTAATGATACTTCACCATATGAAGAATTTTGAACAAACTGTTGAGAAAAGAAATTTTAAGAGAGTTCCAGATGTCTTGGTGTGCTTTATTCAACTGGCTTTGTAAGTTGGAAATCAGAATTTAATGTATTTACTCCTGAACAATGCTTCTTTTTGCTAATCAAATGACTAGTATTGGAATATTGAGTTCATTTCTTCTTCTTTTTGGTGCTTGAATATGTTTTGGAGGAATATGATATGCAAGGTTCATTCTCCAAATTTGATCCTAATATCTGGTGCATTTCATGTTTGAATTAAATAGAAAAAGATTGTGTTTATGTGGGATTGGGGGGAGGGAGTGCTGGGAACAAAAGAAAAGATAGCTGTTAATTATGAAGATTTGAAGTAATCGGGATAATAGATGGAGTGTAAGTTCATCCCTTATTTTCTGCTCTTTTCAGGTCAAATTGGATGGCAGTGTCTGCATGAAACACAGACTTTTGGGTCACGAGACATATGTCTCGTATATATCATGGAGTCCTGATGACCATCAGCTTCTCACTTGTGGTGAAGAGGAAGCTGTCATTCGGTGGGATGTCGAGTCTGGTGTACGTATACACACTTATGAGAAAAAATTTGTTAAGTTTATCTCATGCGGCTGGGCTCCTGATGGAAAAAGGATATTCTGTGGTGTAACTGACAAAAGCATTAGCATGTGGGATTTGGAAGGGAAAGAGCTTGAGTGTTGGAAAGGCCACAGGGCTACTAGAATATCGGACTTGGGGATAACAAGTGATGGGAAGCATGTTATCTCTGTTTGTAAAGAAAATATGATAGTATTAGTTGGATGGGAATCAAAAGTAGAGAGAGTAATTCAGGAGGATCAGGCAATAACCTCATTTGTATTGTCCATGGACAGTAAGTATGTGTTGGTTAGTCTTTCAAACCAAGAAATTCATCTCTGGAATATCGAGGGAACTGTAAAACTTGTAGCCAAATATAAGGGGCATAAACGTTCTCGGTTCGTTGTGAGGTCTTGCTTTGGAGGACTAGATCAAGCTTTTATTGCCAGTGGAAGCGAGGATTCACAGGTATCTTTTGTTGATCTTAGAAGCACAATCATTTTGATTTGCAGTACTTCCTTTGTTGGGTTGCCTTTTATGCTTATTAGCACATGAATAAATTACTATGTTTTCCTTCACAAAAAGCTGTTAACAAGTTGTCATTTTTAGTATATAACATTTCGTGTTTATGCTTCGTACATGCACGTGACATTGATTGTTTTGCCTTTAATAGGGTTCTTGTAAAATGATGCCCTAAAGAGTTATTTCTTCTATATTTGTCTTTGAGTATTCCACAGTTGCCTCGGTCTGTTGACTTATTTTATTTTATTTTATTTTGAGTTTCTTCTATCTTGAGTGAATTGTTTTATACTATTTCCAAATGCTGCCTTTATGATAACCACTGCTCTCAATGATCACGAGTTTACATCAATGCCATGCTGCTCTTTACTGCTGTCAAGACATGACTTCCATGTGAAATGTGAGGGGGATTTATAATAGTTAGCAACGAAGAAGGAAAACTCAAGTTTTCTGAAATTTCTTTAGGAATAATAAAACATGTCAAGTATATTTTCATAAGATTAATGAGATCCTTAAAGTTCAGAATGTTATATGGCCTGCCTTTATGCCATTAATGGCCGTATATTCTTTTATATCTATAGAAGTTTTGGTAATTAGATGAGCTTTGTAGGCTTTGATGTAGAATACATCCTGAATTTCATGGCATATTCCTGATGTAGTATCTCACAAAGTGTCCAAATGCTGTGCGTGGAATCAAGTTTTTAGTCTGCTCATAAGACCATTGTAAATCATAAAATATACGAGTACTTGGATATGCAATAAATTTGCTTATGAAAGTGATACTCCATGGAAATTCAAGATACCATTTTGACTTGTAGAGTTGCACTTCATAATGGCTGTGGATAATATTTATTTGAATCTGTAAAATAGGACATGACGAAATAGGAAGTGTGTAAACAACACATTCGAGTTTTAAGAGATACCTATTTGGGGCAAGTCTTAATATTTGAGGAAAAAGGTTTGGAGGGGGGAGCGAAAGGGATATCAATCTCATTAGGTGCTCTTCAATGTGAATTTTTGGGATGGAAAATATTATTAGCTGTAATTCAAATGTATTATTTGTGTGCTATCATTAGTTGGTTCAAATTTAGATGTACCATAGAGGAGTAAATTTTTGATAGTGAAAAGATGATTTTTTCCATTTCTCTCTATTACTGGGCACAAATCACAGAAATATGTTGTCAGATATTGATTCTGACCTTGTATCTTCTAGAGAGACTTTGATTCTAGTACAACAACATATCCAGTGTAATTCCACAAAGTAGGGTATGGGGAAGGTAATCTATACCATAAAGCCTTATAACCTTGAGAGACTCTGATCACGGTCTATTGCAATATTTTAGGTTTATATATGGCACAGAGGCTCAGGTGAACTTGTTGCGACACTGGCTGGACATTCAGGGGCGGTGAACTGTGTTAGCTGGAACCCAACAAATCCTCATATGCTGGCATCTGCGAGTGATGATGGTACAATTCGTATATGGGGCGATAATCGAGTAAACACAAAGCAACATGACACTGCTAATGGTGTGAACTACTGCAATGGGCGAAGTTGAACTCTGAGATGCAAAAGGGCAGCGTGTAACGTTACAAATATCTTTCATCGCTATCACTGGTTTCTGTGTATATTCTGTATGTTCATGTCGAATCAACATTTATGACAAACAAGAATGTGAAATTTGCATTCAGTCCATTAATAAATCGTGTACTCTTTCCTCCATATTTTAGATTTTCTTTTCCATTTAAATGATTGTTGCCTATTTTATTGACCCTTGCTATTTAAGGTAGGTAAGTAGTTACTGGTTTGAACATGTTAGATGCAGTGTCATTTGCTCTATTTCCGCAAAAATGTAGAGAGAAGGGAAGTTTGAGAGGGCTTGTCACTGTTATTCACTAAGGCATATTTATTGCCTTATTGGTATATGAGTACATCACTATAAAAATAGAAGCTTTGTACCAGATAAATTCTTTTGAATCTTTTCGTCAACCTTTTTACTAAATCAGCTTTGGGAACTCTTTTATCTCTAGGAGTTAGATGGACTGGAAAATTTAGTCCACAGTTCTCTCCTACTGTTTATCTGCATATGAGAGTTGTGTTTAGCTCCTTGGAATAACCAAAAATGAAGAGTAGAGGAAATAGAATCTCCCTTTGTTTTCTCTTTATATCCAATTAGTGATTATATAGCTTCTAGTTTTCCTTTTTGAGATGATCCCATTTCCACAAGATCATCTATCACTAAAGCCTTGCGAGTTAGAGTTGTTAGAATGAACTTCTCTTCTTGAAGCTCTTTTTTTTCATTCAACTATTTGGTATCCGAAATTTACTAGCCTTGACTACTCCAAAACTTGTTCCGTGTAAGGCCCCATTTAAGGGTGGTGCCCTTCTTATTGGGAATTTCTATGTTACTAGGATTTGAAATTAAGATCTCTAATTAAAGAGTGAAGGGATCGATTCTATGACATCCCTCGGTGGTTCTAGACTTTTTAACACATAGAGTAGTCCATCAACAGATTATGAAATTATTAACATTAAGCTTCCTCCAACAGTACTTGAAACATGTCTAAAAACATTTTTGGGATTGGTTGGAAAGAGCAAAAAAGAAGTCCAATTAAGCAACTCATCTCAGCACCATATGTTTTGTAGAGGGGGGAAGAACTAAGTACATACAAACTTAAATAATGGTTTTCTTTAGTTTTCCCATTCTTAAGCAATACTGAAAGAAGTGGCAGCATTCTCCACAAACTTTTTAGCACCCTTAAACCATCTCTTGTCACCAGCTTGTGCCTTGCAAATGTAAAGTTTGCCATCATTCACTGTGGCTGTGATCAACTGGTGCTTTCCACCTTCATCTCCATCTGCAGTTCTTGTCAATACTGACAAGTAGTAGTACTCTTTTCCTCCCACTGTTGCGCTTGATGCCTCCAACAGGTTAGCAGTTGCCACTGCACCAGATTCAAATCCTCCCTGCACAAACGAATCCCCATTTCATTTTTCCCCATGCATTAGTTCAGTTAAATTTAGGACAATTGCAGGGCGGAGCAACACAGACAATGAGGACCTATATAGCCGACTCCAACTTCCTTGGGACGGACACATGGTTTTGCACTTCACTCATTCCATGTGTTGTTGTATGGTTTGTTTTGATTTATAGGAAAAAACAGTTGGTAAATTGAAATGCATTTTACTTACTTGCGTGGGTGGTGTATGATTACTTGTTACAATCTTACGGAGTGATTCTGCCCCTTGAAGACTACTTTACAGGGTAGCTTATATACTGACTGAATTGTAGACTCATTTGTTCATACTCGAAGCTAGCAGTTGCTCAAGTTATATAGAAGTGGGTTTAATGTTAGTGATCTTTACTCATGTCATAAGAATTGTAGCTAGTAGTTATGATTACTTACCTCTGAATCAGTTTTACCAAAGTAAGCTTGCTTTCCTAGCAGATAGTCCACCTGTTGAGAAACAAAAAGAAAACTCAGTTGTCAGCTAACCATTAGTGCTGAACTATAAAATGCATGATACAAGTATTATTACTTTAGAGAGGAACTCTTCAGGGGAGCCGTAGTCGGTGATGGACTTCTTGTCAGTTGGAGTAACTGCAACAATAAGATTACTTGTGGAATCAAAGTTGTCTTCATATCTGAGAACCTGACCAGGGTACTCAACTTCTTTGCTGGGGTTCCATTTGGCTGGGACTTGGAGCTTGAATCCATCTCCATTGTATGGCAAGAAATCAGTGTTTTCCTTTGGCTTACCAAAAACATTTGCTGCATATATCACAATTAAGTGATCATGTTCACATTAAAACAAAAAGGAAGTAGTGATAAACATTTACAGTGTAGAAATTCATTATTGGATAAAAAGTACCAGCTTCTCCATAGGCAGCATCTGCAGGGGAAACCTTGGAACCAATGGCAGCAGTACCAATGAGGAGAGTAAGAGCCAATCGTCTCGAGACGGCGGCGTTGCTGGCATCATCTTGCTTTTGTGCACGGCAAATCAATTGGTTAGGCTTAGGAGATGAAACAGAGGATGTTCTAGCAGGGCTAGATCTTAGTGCATGATATTGGTGCAAGAAACATTGTGTGGAAGCAGCCATTGCTCAATTACTCTCTTTGGTTTGGTTTTGGGAATGGATTTTCCAATTCTTTGTTACAATGGTGATGTTGGAGGGTCAATATGTTTTAGATAATTTTGTGATGTGTGAAGGGAAATTGGCTTAGTTTTTGGATGTGGGGAAAGATTAGATTTATGATGTGGGATAAGGTTTTTGAGGCTTTCATTGGTGCCAACTAGACATTCAAAATATTGTTGTTTGTTCTAGTTTCTACTTGAAATCTCCATGTCATATTCTAGTGGGGCTTTACTTTGGAGTATAAGGTTTTTTTACAACCACACTTCTTTTCAACATAAATTAATACTAGAAAATGTAGCCTATGATGACTTGTAAGTAATTTTTTAGGATTAGGTGATCAGCTTGAAAATTTCTTTTAATGTTAGTCAAGTATTTAGTAACTCATTTTTCTTTGAGTCTCTTCACATAAGAATGACAAAGTTTCTATATATATAAATATGGTAACAATTTCATTTTAATTTTTCACTAATATATATGACTTATATTAGATGCACAACTTTTAAAAGTTTTTTTCCCACTTTTTTAATTGGAAAAACTATTGAAATATTTTCTCTTATTTCCTATATTCCCTTTTATTTGTAAATGATGTATTCTAGTTACATATTAATGTATTCGAGCCACATATTAGGTACAATTTACGTTATAACGTATCCGAGATACTCTTTAATGTATCTGAGCTACATATTATGTGTCCGGCTTATGTTATGATGTATTTGAGATACTCTTTAAATTATCCGAGCTATATATTAATGTATTCGGTTTGTGTTACTTTTTAAAGGATTAAATCAATTACAAATTAAAGAAAAGTAATTTCATATTAAAACTATGTGATTCCTAAAATTTATCAATTTTAATTTCATGTTAAGTTAATCTATGTCACATAAATTGAGACAAAGAAAATGATAAACAATAACAATAATAGTGTACATTAGGCCTAATTAAAATTGGTTCGACATTATTAATCTTGATCATGTTTCTCAAACTTATTAGTTTAACTCTAGCAAATACAAATAAAAGTGAAAAAAGTTATAAATAAATAATAATCTGTCGGCCATTTCGTTTTGTTTCTGTTTAACTTAACTTAATAAAGATTTATTCTTTTTGAAATTTGGATATTAAATATGATATAATATTTGATTTAAATTTAATATTTGATTGAAGAATTTATTTTAATCTTGAAACATCTCCCTTGTCTCATAAAATGACCCTAGTAGTAAGGTATTAATTTAGAAATGGAAGGTACATATTATATTTAATATTAGTAGTTAATTTGTCGTAAACTTGAAATATTACTGTATAAAATTTATTTAAAATTAAGAGGGGATAATGGAGATTTTTTTCCATCTAGTGTCAGATATTCGTATTAAAGCTTAATTAATTATGATTCATGACGCATAATTTTTTTTTCTATATTTAAAACTTGAATATGAAATCTCTGCTAAACGTTGACAACCCATCTATTGCATCACCTCCTCCGGAATCAAAGAAAAGTTTGCAAATTGGCGAATTCAATGTTTCCATATCCCTCTGGGCAGGAAATCATATATTGAATAGAGGGTACTCCACCCCTGTAGAGGATACAACACATTGAAATAAAGAAATTGATTGGTGGATCTCTCCCATCAGACAGATCAACGGCACCGGGTATGGGATACACAGGCAGGAGAGTTGATTTGACTGCGCAGACCAAATGAGCGAAATTTTTTTCAAGCGAAAACGCTGTGCCAACTTGCATACATGATTTATATGTGAATTTGATACTATAGTAAAATACTCCGAAGAAACTTGAAACTATAATATTTTTTAAAACATCTTGTCCCAAAATGGTTGATAAATTATGACAATCAATCAATGACTAGGATTACATTTTATAACTGCAAGAGATACCCTTCCTTATAACTTGGCTCTTTGGCCAAAAGGAACTTAAATTTTCAACACAACCTAATAATTAATTATTTGTATTTGCATGTAAATTATCCTAATCATTTCATCCTTCCCAATAGAGAATGTACTCCATAAAAGATTAACTCATGTTTACCATCTAATTTAAGAGATTAATTAGCTATGCATAATAAAATTAATAAGAAAAAGTCACAAGGCTAAAAATATCAAACATAAAATGAACCACTAAATTCCTATTTACTCTCCCACAAATTTACTGGTCTTAATTCATGTTCATGACACTATAAGAGGGCTTCAACCTTCACTTTACCATTTCAAAAACAATTAAAAAAAAAACACAATAAAATAAAATACAGAAGAAAAAATTAAAAAAAAGAAAAAGAAAAAAAAAAGAAAAATGGAATTAAATATCAAGATATTATTTGTATTTACATTAATGTTATTTTTAGCACGACTTGGAGTGGCTCAGGCACCAGCAGCACCAACAGGTCAGCCAGGAGTGTTTGATGTTACCAAATTTGGTGCAACACCTAATGGAGATATTAGTAAGGTACGATAAATCGTGACAGTATATTTAAAAAAAAAAGAAAAGAAAAATGTGTTTATATATTTAGAAACAATTTAAAGTGAGATGATTCAGAATAGATATATGACATCTTATAGCCACATGTTTAAAAGTTATTTTCCCCTTAAATTTTATGATTGAAAATAAAAGAGGATATATTTGTATTGATAATTTTTTTTTCCATATGATCTGCTTACATTTTACTGAGTATATTATTATTGTGGCGTTTGATTGAAAAAAGTAATTGTGTTATATATGTTGATGATGAATATGAATGTAACATATATAGGCAATATTGGATGCATTTAAAGAGGCATGTGCATCAACAAGTCCAAGTAGAGTAATAGTCCCAAAAGGTACATTCCAAATGAAACAAGTAAAATTAGAAGGTCCATGCAAGGCACCACTTGAGTTTCAACTACAAGGCACTTTACAAGCTTCTCCAGATCCTAAAGCACTCCCTGAAGGTGAATGGTTTACTGTTAATTATGTTAATCAATTCACATTATCTGGCACTGGCATTTTTGATGGACAAGGTAAAGCTGCATGGGCTCAAAATGATTGTGCCAAAACAAAGTGTGCTCATCTTCCCTATGTAAGTCCCTTTCATTCAAAGATTCAAACTTTATGGATACACATTCCATATTTTATCAAAACTAAGTTCGTTATACGTCTCAATTTATATGACATTATTTTTTTTTTAGTCTTGTCTCGAAATGAATGAATGACACCTTTCCATAGTTAGAAACAATTCAACTTCCAAATTCCCTTTATACCCTTAATTAATTCCCTCATTTAAACTTCTTGAAAATGTTCAAGTTTTGATTCATCATTTTTGAAACCATAATTAACAAGGCTAAAATTGTAACTTTACTGTGCTAGTTTTTGCTATCTTAATATGTGTATCATTTCTAAAGTGGACAACTAAATAGGGACAGAGAGAGTATAATTTATTATAACCACACAAATACCTAAGATTTGTTAAGTCAACGATGCTACATAAATTGAGACGAATGAGATACTATTTGTACTAGATCCACCTATGCATATATAAAACCATTTATATGTTTCTTAATATAAATATTGTGGTGATTGATACAGAATTTGAGCTTCAACTACCTTAACAGTTCAACAATCCAAGACATAACTTCAAAAGACAGCAAAAATTTCCATATGAATGTTAACGGTTGCAACAACTTCACATTAAACCGAGTTACTATCTCAGCCCCAAAGGAGAGCATCAACACTGATGGTATTCACGTTGCTCGATCGAAAAACGTGAACATAACAGATTGTGTAATTGGAACAGGAGATGATTGTATATCTATAGGTGATGAATTGGAACAGCTTCATATTACTAAAGTTACTTGTGGACCTGGACATGGTATTAGTGTTGGAAGTCTTGGCAAAACTCCTGGTGAAAAGCCTGTTGTGGGAGTTTATGTCAAAAATTGCACATTTATTAATACTGATAATGGGGTTAGGGTCAAGACATGGCCAGCTTCACATCAAGGTGTTGTTACTGAGTTGCATTATGAAGATATTGTTGTCCAAAATGTTAGCAACCCTGTTGTTATTGATCAAGTTTATTGCCCATACAATCAATGCAACAAAGATGTAAGAACTCTTTATTCATCACTTATAATTATGTATGTTTGCTACGTCCACTTATCTTTTAAATAATCTGATAGTATATATATATTCTATGTGTAATTGATATGATATGATAGTGTATAGGTCATGTTACATACACTTATCATTTAAATTGATTATTTTATGATGTATAATAAGTGCTACGTACATTTTTCTTTTAAATGACCTGGTAGTATATATATAGGTGCTACGCGTACTTATCTTTTAAATGTAATGATAGTGTAGAAATTCTACTACATTACTAATAAGGGTAAAGTTATATGGTTCGCAAAAGGACGTGTGGTCAGTTGAACCTTCTTTTGACGACAATTGCTACAAAATATTTAGTATATATTATCATAAGTTTCAAAAGTTTTATTGTAACATGAATGTCACGACATATGTCAGATATTGTTTTCGTTATATATAAGTCGAATAAGTATTACTTGTTATATATGCATATTGATATCTTGAATATCCTGAGTGAAATTTCTGATTCTACCACTTTTGTTTGTTTTGCAGTTGCCATCACTAGTGAAGATAAGCAAAGTGAGTATAAAAAATGTAAAGGGTACATCAAGTACACAAGATGCAGTACAACTATTATGCAGTAAAGGAGTACCATGTGAAGGAGTGGAAGTTGGAGACATAGACATAGCCTATAATGGAAAGGAAGGACCAGCAAAGACTAGTTGTGAGAATGTCAAGCCTACTTTTGTAGGAAAACAGAATCCACCTGTCTGTGCTGGAGCTCAAACTGCTTGAGCTTTATTAATATATATTCAACTCGTAGAAGTAGTTACTAATACTTACGTCAGGGTAGATTATTGACATCACACGGGATGTGGCTCTTTTCCAAATTAAACTCTGATTATTAACACGGGATGTTTTGTGTACCAGATACGACCTAGCTCCCAAGTTTTGTGCATTCCTTAGTTATTTCTAATTTTTTTTTGAAGATGTTAGTATTTACTAGTTTACAATGGTCCTGCTCAATCTAATTTAGCCCTATAGCTTCTAAGTTTTGTGCTCCTTTTTTTAGGAAAAAAACATGAGCACTTAAAGTGTAGAAATAACACATGAATAATAGTAGGAAATCCTCTTGGAGAGAGATTTTTAAACATGATATTGGTATCTGATATGAGTTTAGTTTTGAGTAATATGTATCATATTGTGAAAAAATACTATAATTACTTGTTTGATTGAATTATTTCTTATAAGTAATTATAGGTAATCAAATTGCTAAAAAAGATTTTAATTTAAAATCACTCTCTTGACAGCGATTTGATTTTAAAAAATAAATAAATAATTTAATTAAAAATCGCTGTGATTTGATTTTTTTTAAAAAAAAATTGAACTCAAGTCGCTGCCTCAGCAGCAACGACATAACAAAAATATAATAAAAAATATATATATTTTGAAAATCGCTCCCGAAGGAGCGATTTTGTTTAAAAATATTTTTTTAAAAAAATAATCAAATTTAACAAATCGCTGTTATAGCAGCGATTTTACCTTTTTCGACGGACAAAATCGCAACTTAGTGAGCGATTTTGCCGTTTTAATTAAAAAAATAATAATCATATACCATTTTAAAATTTTTGTTAATATTTTTCACCCTTTAGACTCCAAACTCTTAAAAATAATTACTAATGTGAATATATACATGCATATGCCACATAATTAGTTAGTGGCCGGGTTGAGAAGAAACAACAGAATTAGAAGACCATTACAAATGTTGATTTTGGCACTCCAAGCTAATTACCAACTAGTTAAAACACTACATATGAGAAAGAATGGTTATGCAAATTGTTAGAGAATTTTTTTTTTAAGTCCTTTCATCCCTTTTAATTTTCACAACTAAGTTTCTCATCTCCCATCTATTTATCTTTAACAACTCTTTTGGTTTTACTAGCCCATTGTTATGCTGCAATTTCATTGTTAGTTTTATCTGTGTTCGTAATTGTAATGAGTTACGTGATTATTATATTTGAATGTTGTTTCTATTTTGAAATTGAAATTGTTATACTGATCACTATAAAAGAATATTAGTTGACACCACTAATGATATTTTCACGTAGAAAACAACAATTAGTCATCATACTTTGTTATTGGTGAATTACTTTTATAACCTTTAAAATTGTAGTTTTGACACAATCGTAAAATATCTCAAATCAAGGAATATAACTTTCAATTTTTCATGAGTAAGTATGTCTTATACCATTTACTTACTATATATGTCGTTCTTGAATTCGAAGCTTAAAATACTCAATCAACCCCAAATCTAGCATAAACATTCATCATCAAATCTCTAAAAGTTGATACAACTTTCATTCACTTATTATATTATCCTTGTATCTCGATTTTACGTATATCTATCGATATATTCAAATGTAGATTGAATTTATCAAAGTTAAACTAAGATGAATGTCTTTGACTAAAATACCAAATACACCTATAAAAATCTAGCAATTAAAGGCAGCAAAATCGAGAATCAAAAGGTATTCGAATAATGGCACCAACACTTATTTGAATTGATTTAAAAGTTGGTCAAATTTTTATAGTAAATATAAAAAATAACTTAAATAAGTTAAAAATAACTACAAATAAGTTGACAAGATAAAAAATAATTTAAAATAAATCAAAAATCAAAAATCAAAAGTAGATATTCTTTGACTTAAAAATCATAAAATTTCAATTTTAAATTTAAAATCTGAAAAAAATAATTAATAAAATATATATTTGTTACAATTAGCGAATAAACTTTATTACTACGTAAATTCAAATTAATCAAGTGTGGCATGTGCCGTTATGTAGAAACAAACAATCTTTTTATAGATTCTGATCATCTTCGTCCCATTTCCCAATTCAAAATTCTACATTAATCCCTACTCTCCAATTCCCAACAAATAAATCACTTCCACCAACTGTGTCAGTGTATATAAAAGTGTGTAGCTAAATACAACAGTGATACCTCACGAAAAGGGGTTCAAACCCCCAAAAGTATCTCTTTTAGCCAAAAAGGAATCAACCCTTTTGCGTTTCTTGGCTTTTCAGCTTTGGTTCTGTTGCTTGCTGCTTCTTCTTACATTTTGGGTGAGTCTTTTTTCTCTCTCTCTCTCTGATTTTTGGCATCTGGGGTTTGCTTGTTTTAGATTTTTCTGTACTGGGTTTATCTGATTTTACCAAAATCAAGAAGTTGGGGTGTTTTTGGTAATGCATATACCTGATTTTGGGGGTTGTTTTGTTGGAGTTGTGTTCTGGTGGTTTATGGAGTTGCCCCACTCCAAAGTTATGTTCTTTTTGCCATTTTTACTCTGTGTGTAAATTTCTGGCTTTTCCAATTCTTTAAATTTCTGTGCTTTGGGGTATGATGATGATGATGAGAGGTACAATTACAATTTACAAGTATAATGTTTTGATTAGAGCTACATATATTATTTGTTTGCTGGTGAAATTAACTTTAAGCTAAATTACACTCTTTCTGGTACATCCTTGGTGATATTTTGCTTCATATGTTAAATCCTTCATTAGCCCCCAAATCCAGATACGCTTTTGCAGTCAGATTTGTTATTCGTATACGTCCATTGGCCCGCCAATATAGAAAAAGGAACTTTGTGCACAGCATTTGCCTTACTTTTTCTAGTTTCCTTTTTGTAAATTGCTGTTTATCTTGCTACTTTTTTTTATTAGATTATATTTGTTTTGAGGGGTAAGTTTTAGCATACATCCTACCCTCTCCAAACCAAACTTGTTGGATTACCCTGGGTATGTTGTTGTTGTTGTTGTATAGTGGTGAGTTTGTTCCACTGCGTATGAAGTGATTGAGCTGTTTAATCAAGACTCTGTATAGGTGGTTTTAAAAAGGGAACACCTTATTTTAATTCAACTTGAAAAGCAATTGTTAAGCTGCCTATTGTCATGGGTCATGTATGTTTCCTTGGTTTGATAGTTGTGGTTGTGATTATCATTATATAATTGTATATATAAATGTTTCACTGCTATCATTACATTATCAATGTTTGAGAAATGAATAGAGTTTGTTGACTGATGGGAGAGAGATTCTTAATAATTCAAATTTGTTTAATTCACCTTATCCTTTTTCGGATGACTGGATTCTAGCTGGAATACCACCACAAGTTTCTTGTCTTAAAGTTGTTGAATTGTCTAAGATCTGCAAAATAATGTACAGGTCCCGGAGAGAATTCAGGAGTATAAGGTAGCACCATATGCATATTTAAACTGTAATTTTCTACTGTTCTGATGACTACAATGCTCTATCTTGGAGATTATAACATTTGATTCCCTTTTAGATGAAGGATGAGCTTAAGGTTGCTAGAAGAGAAAGGATTATGAGGATGTGATTAGCTAATTTTATGATAAAGAGGAGATATCAGATAGGGCTTTCAAATTCATTCTTTAACTATAGTAAATTAGTGCCAGTTCTGTGTCAGATTAGCAATATGCAGTTCATAGAGGAGAAATTACCTTCTTTTGTCAGAAATACGAGAAGAAAAACTGTTAAGAAGAAAAAGAAGAATGTCTAGATTGGTGGGAAGGGAAGTTGATTCCGTCTGCATGAGTGGAAAGCCAAAATTTTGGATGTAATTAGGATCAAACTTTTTTCAGCCTTGTATCAACCTGGACAATAATGTATGTTGTTGTACTGTTATAATAGTTATAAAAACTGTTTTTGCTTGTTAGATTTTCACCAGTTTTTGGTCCACATGAAGCTTGCACTTGTCTGTGATAACTTTGCGTATTTAGGTTTATTCTTCTGATGACTGACTTAATCTCTAATGCATCTTAAAAGGGTGGGAAAATGTCTGAGAGAACTATAGCTGAGGATCTTCTGAACAACATTGTGGAATCAATTGCTGATGGTCTATCAAAGCAGAAGTCTCTGTCAAAGCAGACGTCAGGGTCCTTCTTTGAACAGGAGAAATCAAGCTCAGTTAATTCTCAGCTCAATAGGCTATTTGGCCGTCAAAAGCCAGTACACCACATTTTAGGTGGAGGCAAATGTAGGCCACCTTATACATTAGCTTTTCTTTGTCCTTACAATGGTTGTGTTACAATCCTTTATATGCTTCATCGGTTTTTGTAGCTGCTGACGTCCTGTTATGGAGAAACAAGAAAATCTCAGCTGGTGTTTTAACCAGTGCCACTGCCATCTGGGTGCTATTTGAGTGGCTGAACTACAATTTTCTTTCACTTCTATGCTTTGCTCTTGTCATTGGTATGATTATTCAGTTTCTTTGGAAAAATGCTTCTGGCATGATAAACAGGTAATGCAACTTAACGTGCTTCCTGAGCGTCATTCTTTTCTCCTGTCTTAATCCCATTCATTAATTGGTATGATATTCTTGAATCAAGTGAATGTACGATCTCTTTGGAAACAGGTCTCCAGCTAAGGTCCCTCGTCTTGTCTTACGTGATGACCTTTTCATCAGCATCGCCAAGTCAATAGGAGCTGAAGTAAACCGTGCTTTGGGCTTCCTTCAAGATGTTGCCTGTGGGACTAACATCAAACAATTCTTAGCGGTAAATCATCATGTTTTTTGTTAGTATCTTTTTAAATAGATAAGTTTATTTTAAATTCAAAAAATTCCTCAGATCCAATCTCATTACAAACTACCATGCATTTGATTTGTATTATATGTATGGACAATTAAGTCTGATCTTTTCAAAAATTATTTTGCTTCCTCTACATCAACTTCAAATATTTTTGCTAAGGTCATGGGCTCTCACCCTTTAGTGAACTTTCTTTGATTCGGCATTTGCCAAGTATCTTGAACAATCTAATTGTTCTAGAATTTCTCTTCCTAATTCCTGAAACAACATCAATACGTAAAAAATGTATTATTTTCTACCTCTCTGCTCTCCTTATGTTTTTGGTTCCAGACAGCTTTCCGTTCTGTTTATATAGTGCCGAGGAAATTATTGATAGTTATAAATGTCGAGAGGTGTGCTTCTACCCTTCCTTTTTACTAAGTGAACAATCCACATTGTCACGACACTTTTGTGGTCGTTTGGTAGAATGCATTAGGATAATGCAGAATATGATGTATTAGTAATGCAAGTATTAGTAATGCTTGTCTTAGTTATGCTTGCATTATTTCTTATACATTGTTTGGTTTGATGTATTGAAAATTGCAAGCCTTGTATAAAGTCTATTAAAAAAATATTTGTTTACAAAAATATCCTCACTCTTTTGTTTTGTACACTTTCTTTTGCAACAAGGTTCTTTAATAAAACAATCACAATAGAATTCTTTGCCAAAATGTATTAGCTCTTCTTTTTCCTCAAAAATAAATTAAATAATTTTTAACATTTTATAATATTTTTGAGGAAATTCGAAAAAAAAACTCTTATACTGTGTTATTTTTGGTGTGTGCACCACATATTGGCATTGATAGAAACCATAGAAACACTTAAATAAGATAAAATTTTCTATGATACTTAGAAATTACGGATTCAAATCACAAAATCAATAACTTGTTTTAATAATTTTACTTATCACATCCTGAGATTGGAAGTATATCAAAAATGTAATAAAGATAAATTAAAACTCATAATTACACCTCAAGATATTGATTTGACATTGGTAATTCAAGTCATTTGAATACCTCATCATTTAACCCCCATCGTGCCTCAAAATCTACCACCAGCAAACTAGTTATTTCAAGTTCACAATATTCATTTTTTATCTACTCATTCCCTAAAAGCAATAATATTTTATTATTATTATTTTTTCTAGAAGCAATAGTATGTTTGTTACTCTGTATTTTGCCCCTTCATTCATACTCCTTTTGTCAAATGTGTTTTGATTTTGAAGAACGTAGTAGAGCAGCAACATTTTTTAAAGTTTCAAAATTATTTTATCAAAAAAAAAGAAAAAGTTCTTTGTATCAAAAATCTTAGCAATTGCAATAATCTATATGTTTTATTACTGCATTTTGCAAAGATTATGTTTTGAGAACAACATTAGTTTACCGTGGAAACGTATTGAAAATGTTTTGACAAGGTTCAGGGGGTAGTTTTTTATCATTAGTTAATCTAATGCAAGTGTTAAAATCACGTGTATTACTAATACATAGAAATCTTTGATATTAGTATTACACTCCTTAATACACAATCGAGTGTATAAGTAATGCTTACTTTGATTATACATAGCATGAAAAAGTGCACCAAACGAGATATAACTAATACACAAAGTTAATGCATGTGTTATTGTTGCTAATACACTCTACCAAACGACTCCTTAGTGAAAAGGAATGCAAGAAGCACAACATTTACGCTGTAAAAGATACCAGAAAAAATGCAATCAAATTTCTCTTTCCCTTCAATTCAGTTGCAAGAATCTGTATAACTTTACTGAATTTTTGCAAACAATTTTATTCATTATTAATTGTTATGAGCATGATCTGTATTGCTCTGAAGTCCTATCGTTAAATGGTTGGTATATTTCGTGGATAACATAGTCAACCGAAGAAGATACCATTCTTTTGTTCATATTGGAGTTTCTTCTCGGGATGCTTTGACCTTTAAGCACTTGGTTCTTGAAATATGAGTTCATCAAATCATCTAATCCTGAGCCTTTTCTGATGACTACTTAATTAACGTCATGGGATTTGTTCTAGGTTGTGGCGAGCTTGTTGGTTGCTGCTATTATTGGAAGCTGGTGCAATTTTTTTACTGTTCTGTACATTGGTAAGTTTTCTTGCCATAATATGGATTGCTTGTGCAGCTATAGATTATGCATTTATTCTGAATTCTTTTCGAGGTTTTATATTAAGAATATTTATATCTTCCTCCGGAGTCACATCAAGATCCAGAAAGTTTTAATTTTGAATATGCTTGTGATATTGATTGTCTCAGGCTTTGTTGCTGCACATGTGCTTCCCGTGCTGTATGAAAGGTATGATGATCAAGTTGATGGCTTCGTATATAATGCTCTCGAAAAGTTTCAATGCCATTACCAAAAGCTGGATCATCGCGTCCTCAGCAGATTCCCCACGAGCAAATTCAGGCTAAAGAAGTTCGAATAGGTTAATCAGCAGAAAAAACGAACTTGTGCATTTCCTGCTAAGGAAGCAAAATGCTTCTTTTTGAGCTTAGAATTAGTCAAGGTAATGGCTCCATTAATTCAAAAGAAAAGACAAACGATGGATGGCAACGGAGAAATTTTATATGTTCAAATACTGTAGTTCTAATATGGCATTTTGAAAATAAGTTGCTTTGTATTCTTTTTTTCTTACCATCTTTCATCTGTAGTTGTAGTAGTTTTAGAAGCATACTTCTATGTTGCTTAGACACTACTTGTTACCACACCAGTGTCCATCCTCCTAAAATGCATAACTTTTGAGGACTTGTGTTTGATCGAGAAAGATTTTGATGCTTGATGAATAGAACGGTTGTGTCGACATGTTCCTTTCAGACATTCGACTGAGATAAGGAAACGTCAACCATGCAAATTAGAAGTTATTAAGCAGTGGGAGGATTGCTTTTTCGACAAGCAACTAGTGCAGAAAGTTTTCTTTTCTTTTTATAGAGGAGTTCTACGAGGAAAAGGGAGCGCATAATAAGTCAAAGTGTAAACATAAGTATAAATTTTAAGAGAAGTAGGAAGTATGATCAAAGAAGTAAATAAAGGGCGTAAATAAAGTGTAAACACAAGTATAAATCCTAAGAGAAGTAGGAAGTATGATCAAAGAAGTAAATAAAGGGCGTAAATAAAGAGTTCAAGAAAATAAATCAAAGTGAAGTCAAGAAAGAATACTGAAGAGAAGTTTGAGTTGAACTAGGAGTTCCACATGATGTTGGTATCCTACGTGTGAGCTTCTAAGTTTAAAGAGAAAAAGGAAGCAGAGCACAAGTAGGATTTCTAGTTGAAACAAGTTTTGGATTCAAATCCAAATTTATAAATAGGGCGATAGTTTTGCTGGAGAAAATTGTGCACTTTCATAGAGAGAAGATCAAAATACGATCAAGAGTTTGAGAGAGTTTTGAGATTTACTTGGGAAGTGTTGCCAGTTTGTGAGGAAAAAGTTGTAAGATTGTAATTAAGAGTTTTGATTGTAATCAAGTGTGTGTGTAGGATTCATCTAACAAGTTTGAGAAACTTGACGGATGATAGAAGACTTAAACCTGATTTTTTTTTGTCTTGAGTAGTTAGGGATTAGAATTTATAATTTCTTAGTTAGGAATTAGAGTTTACAATTTCTTAGGTTACATAGGTTTGTCATATGTTGTTGAGGTTCAAAGTTTAATGAAAATGAGTTAAATCCTATAGAAGTGTAGGTTGTGATTTTTCACCCTTTATGAGCCAGGATTTTTCGTAAAAAAATATTGTGTCATTATTTTATTTAATTTACAAAACGTAATTGTTGTAATCTGAAAAGGAAAATATAAAATATACTTGTTCCTTAGACAAATGTGGGGGTCAATATTTCAACAATCTGGCCCAGAGTTTTTGAAGAGTTAGAGCAACATAGTACATTGAAATTAAACTAAATGAAATGATTTATTTTCTAGAAAGCTAGTATGTACACTTCCTTTCAAGTGGTTTGTAAATCAAAATTGAGAAAAAAGCCTGATATACTTCTTAACTTTGACTATACCTCTCGTTATGAAAGTGATTTACATATTATTTTATGGGAAAAAGCTCAAATATGTCATCGAACTATCAGAAAAAGCTCATTTATGCCATCAATTAAAAGTTTGGCTCTTTATGCCATTACCGTTAAAGAAAAGGCTCATTCATGTTATTATTTTTTAACGGGTGGTTTTGCAAAACCATTTTTGACCAATTATAATTCGACCACGTCATTAATCTTTATTATTGTACAAATGACTTACATATGCCCTTCATTTAAAGAATTAGTTTCAAATTTATTTTCTAACTTTAAAATTTTTTAAAAAATCATGTGCGCTATATATATATATATATATATATAATCCTTCTAGCATAGTTCAAGGTGTATTTTAATATTTTCATACAAAAAATATTTTTTGACTTCATTAATTATCATTATTGGAGTTTCTTATTTTTTTTCTTTCATTCTTCAATTTTTTTTGGCTATATAATAATTTAGTTTTTGTAATTGTAAAATTAAATTTAAAAAGGGGTATCTATTGTAAAATTTACAAGAAAATTAGTGAAACTTAAATAAATTTAACCGTCAAAATAACAAATTTAAATTAGTAGTTAAAACAAAAAAGTTCAAAGAAAAATACGTAGAAGGTCAAATATAACCCCAATTATATTTTATTAAAAAACATAATTAAAAAAATTAAATTAATTTTTATTTTTACTTTCATTAAAGGAAAAAAGTATATATCAGCTATTTGTATAACAATAGAGATATATAGGAATCATTTTCCTAACGGCGGATATATCAACTTTAAATAATAAAAATTAAAAGGTATGTCAAACCCTTTCCCATCAAAATTAGAACTAGCAATTTCAAATTTAAACCTTTGCATAATTTGCTTTTGATCTCGATAAAGCTATGACTTAAAAATCTCAATCAGCTCCTCTAATGGTAGAAGAGATACTTGTAGTTATATATATCTAAAAATAAATATAATTACGTCGCATTTGCCGTGTATGGTTGGATGTTGTACATGTGATCCTCTTTTTGTGGGTTTATGCTTTTTTTTTTTATCTCTATATATGCTTGCAGTTTAATTAATACTTTCGAAGGTCATATTGTTATAGGAAAATTAATTACACAATTTTTTCTTTCATTGCAATAAGAAAATTTGAATTTTGTAAATTAGGTTTACTAACAATACTTTTTACAAGTTGTATTTAGCAAACTTATTGATTGCCAGCTAAAATCTGTGGAGTCTATCCCTTTTTTTTTGTCGACTTATGCTATATAATTGTTACAAGTAATTGTTATAAAAAGAATAGTGATAAGTGGATTCATTAAAATGGGCTTGGTCCATGGAGCTGGCCAAACTTAACCCGTCATTGGGTAGGGTTATGATAGGATTTTTCAAGTCTCTTTAACACTAAGGCTTATAAGTCCGACCCATATAAGCCCTTGGCTCTTAAGGCTTGATCAATTGGAGCGGGGTTGGGGTTGATCCATGGGCCAAAACTTTTTATTTAAGGATAACTTACAATAATATCATTAGTATATAATCTAATTACTTAAATACACGATATGCTTTATTATTATGAATCTTACCAGATTTTGGTACGTTCAGATACACATATCACAAAATATATGGACTCAAAATTAGTTTAATCTGTTTTAGATTCAGTTTATTAAAGTAGATTCACGTGTATCTAGGATGTAAGACAAATATCATGTCCTTGCCTCCCTCCAATTTTGTTTGTCATTCTTTTATCTCGCTCGCGTATCTGATATGCAAGATAAATATTAATAATACTAGACTTTTTGTTAGTGTTATTAAAAAAACACTATTGTTTGTCATATTTGATTTGAAAATCTTCTCATATTCTTGATGTCGTAGAAATATAAGTTTGAAAAGAAGAAATTTATATGGAATAACCTGAGGGTTTCAAAGTAGAAGATAAAGAAAGTTTTGTGTGAAAACTCAAAAAAAATTCTTTACGGCCAAAAACAAGCTCCTTGACAATGATACAAGAAGCTTGAATTTGTTATGGGGGAACATGGTTATAAGAAGACTTCATCAAATCATTGTGTATTTGTATAAAAATTTCTGACAAATAATTTTATCATCCTTTTCCTCTATGTTGATGATATGTTGATTGTGGACAAGAATACTTTCAAGATTGACGAGCTGAAGAAAGAGTTGTCTAAGTCTTTTTCTATGAAAGACTTGGGTTATGCCAAGCAAATTTTGGGCATGAGAAGATGAAAGAAAGATTTATTCGTCCCAAAAGAAGTACATTGAACGTGTACTAGAGCGCTTCAACATGAAGAATGTTAAGCCTGTTAGTACACCTCTTACTTGTCATATGAAGTTGAGCAAAAAGATGTGTCATACAGCTAGGGAGGAAAAAGAGAGCATGACCAAAATTCCATATTTCTCTGTCGTTGGAAGTCTAATGTATGCAATGGTGTGCACTAGACCTGATATTTCTCACGCAATTGATGTTGTCAGCAAATTTCTCAAAAATTCGAGAAAAGAGAATTGGGAAGTTAGGAAGTGGATACTCATGTGTCTTAGAGGAAGCTAAGACGAATGCTTGTGGTTTGGAGCATCAAATCCAATCTTGAAAGGTTATACAGATGCTGATACAAAAAGTGACCTTGATAACAGAAAATCCACATTGGATATTTGTTTTATGTTTCAGAGGGAGCTATATCATGACAGTCGAAATTGCAGAAGTGTATCGCACTATCGACAACTAAAGCTGAGTATATTGCGGCTACTGAAGCTGGCAAGGAGATGTTATGTCTCAAGCAATTTCTTCAAGAGCTTGTTTGCATTAGATGGAGTATATTGTGTATTGTGACAACTATAGTACAATAGACTTGAGTAAGAATTTCATGTACCATGCAAAGAACAAGACACATCAACGTCAAATATCATTAGATTCGTGAGTAAGTGGAGAGTGAATCATTTCAAATCAAAAAGATCTAAACAAGTGAAAATCCTGCAGATATGCTAACCAAGATGATACCGAAAGACAAGTTTGAGTTATGCAAACAACTTGTAGATATGAGCACTCTATAAAGAAGATGAAGATACCTCCTTCTAGTGAATGAGATTGGAGGGGAATATTTGTGGAGTCCGTTCCATTTTTTTGGTTAGCTTTTGCTTTTCAATTTCTACAAGTATTTGTTAAAAATGAATAGTGATAAGAGTTGAGAATAAAAGATTTGGTGGTTGACAAACAAACTGGTAAGATTTGCAATCCTTTTGACTTTGCTACATTAACCTATGTCATTAGTGACATAGCATGATTTTCTCCTATAAATAATAGAGCATTCTTGCTCATTTATAGAACACACCAAGTTAGAGAGAAAAAATTATTTTGAGAGCAAAGTGAAGTATTTCATAGGCTATACAAGAAAAATAGAGTGTGAGCGATATTTTACTAAGGAAGAAACCAAAAGAGTGTTGTTCTTTTTGAGTGTATAGTAGTCACTTTGAGTATTGTATTCGTGACTATTCAGTGTAAAATTCCTTACTAAAGTGATATCAGTTGCTCCTCTTGATTCGTGGTTTTCCCTTACTTAGAAAAGTTTCCACATAAATATTTTGATATCATTATTTTCCCATTTTATTTATATTACTTTTACCATATATATTTTTGTGCTTGTTCGCGTTTTCCTAACAAAATCTTTTTCCCTTGGCACTTTATTTTTCCTGCCAACACTTACAGGTAAAAATTTACTCATACCAGACTTTTACATTTAAATG